AGTCGGGCAAAGTAGCGTTTAGATTAATTAAAAAACGAAAAGAAAAAAAAGAAACAATATAAAATAATGTATTAAAATAAGGCCAGGTAGGTCTACACCAGAATACGTATTATAGCGTTGTCTTACCTTTAAAGCGTTTGTTATTACAATAATATTCCTTGCAGCAGTCATAGAAAATAGTTGTTGATATATTAACCTATAAATTTAAGGGAGCATTTATCCAAGAGCATTATTACAGCGGGTTTTGCTTAACTTTAGTTTTGAATACATCGCTATAATTTATCCATCAGGCAGTCGGAAGGACGATCCGCAGAGGTCCTAACGCTTTTATCCCGCACATGCGCAAATGAAAAAGCCTCTTTCTCGGTGATCGCAATGGCGGACGCAGAGTGAGTGTTTCCCTCTGTGTTAAAATCTAATCACATCCAGCATTAAACTAGCCTCTGCTGTTAATTTTACAACGCGAATGAGCTATTTAGTTCATGTACGATAGAATAATAGCAGTATTGTTACAGATGGTGATTATTACTGTTGTTAAGGGTACTTTATAATAACTGAGTCCATATAGCCGAGTTCAACATGGCTGTCTCTTTAGCATCTGTGGATTATTACAAGTGTCCAGTTCTTGTGGTTAAAAAATTAGAACTAAAATAATAGTCAGCTATTTCAGCAACCTTTGAGTTTATGCTGCTGTAAAACCTCTCTAGTCTCGAGCTATTGTATGAAGTAGTATTTACCTGTGTGGAAGCCGGCAAGTGACTGGCAAGCTAGCAGCCCCCATGATTCAGTCATCGTTTCTGTTGAGCGATGTACATGTGTTCAGGTATCTTGTCCACCACCTCGCTTCGGATTTTTTCCTTACAACATATTTTTTTAACGTTTAAACAGAAAAAAGGTTCCGGCGGTCCCTGAGAGCCTTTTGAAAAGGCGAAAGGCCTACGCGGCCATGAAGGCCATGCGTGTCAAGAAGCTGCTGGCTGAGAAAAAGGTAAAGTGAAGCTTTGTGCAGACAAGTATTCCCGTATGGATGGAGATATCGGATAGAGCTTTGAACTGCTTCGACGCCTTTTTCCCTTTTGCATTCAGGTCCGCAAGGTGACCAGGAAACTGATCTACAAGAGGGCTGAGAAGTACCACAAGGAATACAGGCAGATGTACAGGCGTGAGATACGAATGGGCCGTATGGCTCGCAAAGTGGGAAACTTCTATGTGCCTGCTGAGCCCAAACTGGCCTTTGTCATCAGGATCAGAGGGTGAGTGATGCACACTGCTTGGGATTCCTCTGTATCTGGCTTAAAAGAACTGCACAATCAGTTGTAAGGTGTTGTGCAGGCAGTGCCACATGAGAGGATGTCCAGCAGCTGAGCCTCATACATTACTACTTTGTGTTTAGCTGCTCAGTTGCTTGTTAATTCAGTTGCTATTGAAAAGTCATTTTTATTGAATGATTAAGCCAGTCCTTGTGGATAAATACAGTTGAGTGGTTAATGATGCATGCTCTTTCCCCGACTTATCGACTCTGCTGATACACATTTGTAATAAAAAGCCAATAATGTTCTGAAACCACTCTAAGCAGCTTAATTAGGAAGTTGTACTTTGATGGTAAGTCCAAACAGTAATCACAACATTTTTTGTTTGTTTTTTGTTTGTTTTTTCAGCATCAACGGTGTGAGCCCCAAGGTCCGCAAGGTTCTGCAGCTGCTCCGTCTGCGCCAGATCTTCAATGGTGTCTTTGTCAAGCTGAACAAGGCTTCAATCAACATGCTCAGAATTGCAGAGCCTTACATCGCTTGGGGGTAAGGACTGTGTCACTCTGAAACCTGCTGTTCAGAAATAAGAAGCGATGGTGGGGGGTATTAGCACGTCTCTAAATAGGTGATACACTTGGAATGTGGTTAATGATGCTGAACTTTTTTCCCCATCTTATCGACCATGGTGATTACTGACTGAAACTAAGCCAGTTTTGTCTGAAACCACATTCCATAGTGGTACGTGCCAGTGTGTTGACAAATGTGAGTGTGTTGGCTTCATACTGTAATGATGCAGCCAGAAACTTTTGTAACCTGGCTTTTACTACAGTGGTCATTCACTGACACTTGAAATCAACACATTAAAGTACTGTTCAACAGTTTATAGAAAAATAAGCCAGTGTCAAACTAAACACAGTAAATGCTTGGCTATAATTCACAAAGCTTTAATGTCTTGATGTTAAAGACCCAATGGAAATGTTTGTGCTCTGTGTGTTTGACATTGCTGTGTGCTGCTGTAATGGAAGAATTTACCTGATCTTCACTACAACAGCCCTGTGGAAGTGTGTGTTACTTGGCACACGAGTACACTGTAGGTTAGACTTGTAGTGTTTGCTTTTGGTCACCTTAATACTTCCATTTTTGATATTTATATAGTTGGTTGGGGTTACTCCTGTCCGGTCATTTATGTCAGTCTTGTTTGGATGTGTCTAAGTGACACTTTTGATGCAGATAACTTGATCTGTATTGGTAGATGCAATATTGTTCCCAATGTTGTACTAGGTTACTGATATTTCTTTATACTATGATGGAGTCCAAGAAACACCATCATCTGCCACTGTGTAATGCTTTGTATTTAACTGACTTAACATTTTTTGCATGTTGCTGACTGTGTTAATTTGGCACACCTGCATTTGGGAGGAATTGTGTAGATTTAATATTTAAAACTAAACTTTTTCCTTCATAAGATCTTAGCAAAGCAGGATTGGTTATAACACAGAACAACCCTATAGATGCATTACACAGTGGCACAATATCCTGAAAGAAGCATCAAAGCTGCAGAAATTTGAATTGTTACCATTCAATCATACCAATTAGATTAAAATAGGATCCTCAGATTGGTCAGTTGAGTCTTGAGCCTAAATTTGAACGGTAAGGTTTAGTATCCAGGCACTCTGTAATGTTAATGCAATGAGTTTTACCAAATCTGTGCGGAGAATTGCCATTCAGATTGTAGATCATGCTTCTTCCCCAAAACAATGATGTACATAATCTTCTTTTGACAAATTACCCACCACTGCTTAGACATGAAAGTGCCAGGTTTGGAGAGATGAAATCTGAGCTCTTAATGTTTTGGGGTTCATATTTTAATATTTTGTAAATGCCTCTTAAATTAAACTCATTAGAAGAACTCAAATTACTTAGATTTACAAAACAAGTGTTTTTCAGGTATGCTTGAAATTTAAAGTATCTTTTGAGCTAAATAAAAGAAAAATGAGTATTTATAATCCTATTTCTTTATAAATTAACACACGTTAACATCATTGATTTGTGCTCCTTTCAAAACTGGAACCTTGGGTTTTTTCCCCCCCTAGATACCCCAACCTGAAGTCTGTGCGCGAGCTCGTCTACAAACGTGGGTACGGCAAGATCAGGAAACAGCGCATTGCCCTCACAGACAACGCTTTGGTGGAGAAGTCCCTCGGTATGGAAACGTTACAGTGCTGTTGAAAATGTTTGTAGTATACCTTTTAGGGAAATGGTTGGCGGTTGATGTGGTTAATGATGTACACTTTTTTCCCCGTCTTATCGACTTTGGTGAAAAAAAAGGTTGAAAACTTTGCCAGTTAAGTCTGAAGCCACATGCCAACCTAACAGGACTTTACCAAAGAGAGATTTTTAGTTGATAATTCTTGGCTTGTACTGTATTTGTTGGTCAGATGTTTGGGAACATGAAATGGAAAGATGAGGCTTGCTTATCAAGCTCGAAGAGTTTTACTTTGTGCCTGAAAAGATTGAAAACATCAACGCTTCAAATGGCAGCAAGCACATCTGGAAATGAGTCTTGTTGTCTAAATTAAAAGAAGAAAAGCCAGAGTTGCTCCAAGCAGTTTCATTCTTGGATTACCTCTATTGGTTTAATCAGCCCTTCGCTTTTAAAATTTTGAAATGAAACACTTAAATGCTAAAGCTGGCACGCAGTTCAATTTATTAAACACTTTTCATCTGTAGGAAAATATGGCATCATCTGTGTTGAGGACCTCATCCATGAGATTTACACAGTTGGAAAGAACTTCAAGCCCGCCAACAACTTCATGTGGCCCTTCAAGCTGTCGTCCCCACGCGGTGGCATGAACAAGAAGACCACACACTTCGTGGAGGGAGGAGATGCCGGCAACAGGGAGGATCAGATCAACAGACTGATCAGGAGGATGAACTAAAGTCGTGGTGAGTTTCAGTGATATTTTGCAGGTTTTGAAAGTAGACTGATTCAATGTGGTTAATGATGCATATTCTTTTTTCCCCATCTTATCGACTATGGTGAAAACCACTTGTTAATAAGCCAACATTGTCTGAAACCACATCTTTAGTCATTGAGCTTTAAATCTCCGACTGAGAGATCTTTCTCTTTGAAAATCTATTTAAATCCAAACATGGATACATGTTGAATGCTATCTATTTTTATTAAAGATGTGTTGCTGAGACTTTATATAACATCAGAATTCTTACCTCATTGTCTTATTTTCTTCCCCCAGGTTTTCAAAAGGACTCAAAATGTACAATAAAAATTTGGAGGAAAAAAACCTTCCTGGTCCTGTCATTAATGTGTAAATGTGTCATGAATCACGCAGGTTGTTTGGTATTTACGTGTGGGTGTGGTTGTGTACATTACTACTTGATATATTAGTAATATAATATCCAGCGTTAGCCAGCGTTAATATAATATCCACCCAGGGAGTTAACTACATAAATTGGGTAGTTCTCAAGGACACACACTTTTAACTTGTAAAAATTAACTAAAAACTATATTTGAAGGCAATTTACTGCATTTATCAAGTAATTGTGGGCTAGCTGTAGCCTGTATGGATAATGGATAAAATGCTTTTTTTTTTTCTTTTTTCTTTTTTAGGTATTATAGGACATAGTATTTGGGTACATTTTTATTACCTAGCCTGGTTAGGAAACACAGAAAGCTAAATATAAAAAAACCAATGCAGGCGAATTTTGAAGCCTGTTTCCATGGTGACGTGATGACTCGTTAGCGTTGTACCAGAGTGAGCTGCAGCCTAGCACTGCTGCTCAGGGATAACCGGTTTTAACCCATGTACCGTTAGCTGTGTCGTAGCTGTGTATAGCACTAAGGTAATGTCTGAAGTAGATGTTCGTGCGGCTGCTCCATCATGATAACTTGCCAGTTAGACCCGTCGATAATCACCGTAAAGGGGCTAATATCCCGGGAAAGCTCGAACTGCGGGCAGCGCGGCCCTGATGCGGTTGGATATCCGACATACAGGAACTTGAGGATGGGAGCAGGTGGAGGGCAAGCGTCTTTAAGGCAAAGTCAACCAAGGAAATTTCCTGTTATACAACCTTTGAGCAGTGAGTAAGCGTGCTCCATAAATGTGCCAGATTCATTCAAAGAAGCTAGCCTAACGGTCCGTAAAATGCTGAGCGCTGTCTGTGTTGTAGAGTCCAGGGACGCGAAACCTCAGCTGACTGGCTTCATAATTGGAGGGTAAGCTATGTGAATATTTTGGAAACTATAAAAACGCTACGCCACAGATATAATAAAAGAGATGTTCTCACAGTGTTTCACACTCGTTGTTTTTAACCACTATGCTAGTACAGACTGAAAGAGAGTAGGTAGCGTTACTGTTTCCGTGCCAGGCTTATATGGAAGACCCGAACTACTGTAATCCAACGTAATTAACACTAGACTAATGTCTGCCTGTTTTTATTTATTTTATTTTATTTTTACCTATTATGCAAGTAAGGGAGGCTGGCACCTACTTATTGGCTACTCCACATCATCAGGCTTGCTCAAAAATACATAAAGATACGATTGCAAACATAAAATAAGACAAATTAATACGGAAGTTCCGTAAAAACAAATGTAAAAAATTGCATGGAGATGCAAATAAATACAAAGGAAAACGAAAACACCAATGCATTTCAATTGATCTCATACTGTATGAATAAAACACATTTTTGAATATTTGTGCAATTAATTGAATATCAATATATTTATTCAGTCATTTAATTTTGATTATGGCATTTTTAGTGCTACATAGATAACCATAAATAATTCCTTCCTGGGTTCCATATCCAGCCCACAACATGAACCACTTATTTCCTTTATAGAGCCCTGTTTTAGGGTGAGTATGAGTATATTAAGGTATTTTACATGATAAAAAATCCGAGAATTATACATAAACGGACTGGTACTTATATAACTGAACACTCTTTGACTCAAGCCTCATTACATGATAATATACATAATAATCACACTCACATTCATACAAGCACTAAGGACCTTGTCTAACATTCACACCCTGATGGATGCATTGGGGGTAACTTGGAATTCAGTATTTTGCCTAAGGGTAAGGATCCTTGCAGGACTTGCAGACTGGAAGAGCAGAGAAGTGAACCACCGACCTTCTGATTGGTAGATGACCCACTCCCTGAGACAAGGTCGCCCCGAATATAATGCTCAATAACACCAAGAAAATGTCATATTTTTAAATGAAAATCCATACTTTTTTGCATACCGAATAGGAAATACTGTCAAGATATTGCAAAAATAATGATTTGCTAATGAAACTTTATTGTAAAAGAATTGCCCATGTGCAGAAATCACAGAGCTGCAGATTTCAGCTGTCAGTTTTTTAATCTGGAAACTTTTCACCCCGTGCTTCCTGAATTGCTTACTGTAAGCCGGACTGGTTTGATCTGTATTTCATACGTAGCATATGGCCAGAGTGTTCCTACATCATCTCTCCAGGACTGAGATGCAGTGACTGTGCCGGCTACTCTATTAGACACAGAATACCAGCTGGCTGCTTCCTCTCTAGATAGTTCCCTGCAGTGAAACTGTGCTTTGGTTCATTGTACTGCTGAAAAATGAAATTAGCTCTGATTAAGTTGTGTCCAAAGCATATGGCATTACGCATATGCAAAATGTAGTAATAGTATTTTGCACATCCTTGTTCAAGATCCCTTTTGTTCTGTAGAAATCTTCTACTGTACCTGCTTGAAGGGCAGTATATGGACTCCTCCAGCATATTTTCCTTTCTACTACATTTACAATTGTTCTAACTTTCAAATCTAAATACCTTGATCTGCCCACAGTACATTTTCCAGTCTTCCCTTTGTCCAATGTGCTCTTTCCCCCTTTCTAATCTGTTTATTTTATTGGCTAGTCTCAGATTTAGCCTTTTCTTTGCACTTCTGCCCAGAAGACCATATTCACGAGTCACCTCTTGACCATTATCCAGTTCAGGACCCATGAGGCATCCCTGCTTCTGACACTAGAGACTCATACACTGGCCTTCTTTCTTAGTCATTTGAAGGGGTCTCTCACATATTTTTTATTGAGGTTGGTGTTAGCTGGTGCTGTTGAGCGAGTTAGTGGTATGAGAGTATCACAAACTATTGTATGAAATATTGTTTTGTTTGACAATTTTCCATACGGGAAATCACAAAAATACTGTGACAAGTTTCAGAGGGAAGATTGTTTTTTAAAATTCATATTGAGACTACAGTTGAACCCACAAAGCAGACGCTCAGCTTTAGCACAGTGTTAACATAATTATTGAAAAAGGGGGATTTCAAATCACCATTCAGCATTTTAACACGATAAAACTCCACTAGGGAACACAGCATGCCACTCGACAGTGGAAGTAATGATTGCTGAAGGTGGGCCTCCGCTACGCCTCCGCTGACTTTCCATTACAAATCAGTAATGGAAAATTATCAGTGAATCGTAAGTAATTCATGATGATTAATCATAAAGATTGTTACTGAAACCATTTTTATTTGATTTAATGTAAAAATAAAAAAGTATTTCTTTATAAAACTTTGACATTTGCTGGTGCCACGACATGTTTTAGTTTTTTTCTAGGTGGTATTCAACTATCTAAAATATAGAATCCACGTGTGCTGATATATTTTTCTCCAATTTTTCTAGGACGCCTACTTTAACCAAAGATGACAAGCTGGAGTTGCAAAACACCAACCCAGAGAGGGATCTCAGCGGGAGGCGCTTTCTGTTAGATAGAAAATGTAAGAACTGCAGAACAGGAGACAGCCTTATGTTAATAAAACTGAGAGGAAACTAAGGAGTTTCTTCTTACTTCCCCACTCAAAATGGGCTGAATTTAAATTTGTGGCATGGGGTTTGTGTGAACTGACTGCCAACAGGTGGAGCTGTTGTCTTACATAGTTTCTTTAGGTCCCTTTCCATTGACTCCAAAGTGGGACATTAGATACTTGCGGGAAACTTACAGATATAACCTGACAGTGGAATTAATGCAGAGCAATTTTCTTATTCCCTTTTTAAGGTGTGATGTTAGAGAGGACCAAAACTGTGATTCCTCCACTGCCAAGAGACTACCATGTGCACAGACCTGGTAACCTCCCATCCTTCAGCCTCTCTAAGGAGCTTTCCCACAGCCACACAGGGCGACCCTTCACCCTGGGGTAACCTTTGGATTAACATCTTTTGGGCAGCTTATTGTAGCTGGAATTTCTTTAAAAAAAAAAAAGCATATTTCATGAGACAGCTGCACAGATATTAGTTATTATACTGAGTCACAGTCTCATGCAGGGTATGACAGATAAGGTGAAGAAAGAGAAACAGCAGCCAGATAAAAGTATTGTTTTGACACGCATGCATTATCTGTCAGAAAAAAAGAAAAGCTCGAGTAGCTTTTAATGTTTAATTTTCTGGCAGTTCAAGGGCGATTCTAGCTAGAACTGAAAATCATTATGCTGCACAAAAATATTATCTCAATAACAAATTATTCTCAATCTTCTATTTATGGGAAAAGTGGGGTTTGTTGGTCTGAAGCTTTGTAAAATGTCAGCTCTGCGTTCATTATACTCCTTAATGTTTTTACTTGCGTCTCCCAGGTACCCTGAAAGCTATAAACTGAACACAAATCCAGCCGTCCTCATTCCCTCAGCTTTAGTCCTCAGTGGCAGAAACACCTTTTCGGTTGAGAACTGCAAGCTTGGCAGGTATTTTGGCTTTCTAAACAAAATGTGACCAAGCCAGTGTTTTCAGTTAATTCTCAATGCAGCCACCTCTGTTGTGCTTGTGTCGTCTGCAGGCCCAAGGTGAAATATCCATCGTTCAACGTAATGACTGTTAAAAACAATCAGAAAAGTGAGTTCACTTCCTGCTTTGACTTCATTCTCAGCCTTAACACATCAGGTCCACATGTACTGCCTTTACAGCACACTTAGCTTTGAAGTGAAAAAACAAACAGCAAACAGTTTTTTGTGTTTTTATGTAACATGCGGCATATTATTCAAGAGTTTATCTCTAATTAAGATTATTATTACTTAATGACAGGGAAATGTGTGCAGGATATTTAGAGATTAAATATACCCTGTGCTTCTCTCCATCTCTTTCCATTTCTCTCGCCACACAGGCCAGTCCTATCCGGACCCAATAGCTGGAGCCTCTCGCTCTTACATCCACAGGATATCTGAGCTGTCCTCTCTGGAGGGCGAGACGGTGAGGCAGGAAAAGCTCAAGAAAATGAGAAAACCTCGAAAGACTCCATCCTGACAATCACCTCCTTCCCAGTCACACTGGTCGAGGTTAAAAACATTCGAGTCTGTGCCAACGACGGAACAGAATAAACCACTTAGGGCGCCATGTTCATTTCAGTGGCTCGTTCTGACTGCTTGTTTGTCCTCTGTGATATTAGTTTGCTGCTTGGTATGGCTGGTGGTTACATTCTGGGATTCTTAATTACGTGTAGTACGGACTTGCTGCAACAATAAATGCCGGTGATGAATATTAGGTAAACATTTTCCAGTCTGACGCACAGCTGTCAGCAGTTTTCCACCCAGCACCTGCATGCAGGATATTTAATTTAGCTTTCTAATGGCTCTTGTATAATGCGGCCATATTTCTTTCTGTATCATCTGTATCATATTTCATACGGTGTCCATCTCTGGCCTCATCGTTACCACAGTATTTCAGACATACAGCATATCTAAGCTTTGTTAAGTAAGTGAAATATTGACATATATAGTAAATAGTTTAGCAAAGCCATTATTGTGCCTTGTTAACTGTCTTCCTGAAATTAAATAAATTTATTTTTGTTATTTTGAGGACCTTCCTTCATGTGTATAGCTTTTTTTTCACCACATATGTGGACCGTCACACCACTTTTTGGTGCAAACACTACATATAGACCACTACAATTAGCAAAATATGCATTCCATATTTACGAAACAGACACAAAACTGTGCCCCCAGATCCGAGAATGTGGTGCTGTCCCACACAACGCAGCATTTTGCTGCTGAATACTCTTGTTCATTGTATTTGACAGCAGCCATGCAACTGTCTATTTTTGTGTAGAGAGAAATCTGGACGTGTGCAGAAATATGAGTCTTTTTTGAATAGATATAAAAAGAACTGGTCCTTATTCTACTTTCTACAGCCATCTATACTGGATAATTGTGCAGTATTTGGCTACACATTTGAACCATTAATTCATTACTTGAACTATTTATAAGTTTTGTCCCTTTGGTGGAAGTAAAGGTTGTGAAAATATCACATCTGAAGTCATTTTAAAGTTTCTTTACAACCCTTTAAAATTTAATAAGATTAAATTTACTTGGCTCTGTGTGTAAATAAAGACGGAACAAGAAAAGAAAGAATTAATGGCTGAAGTCGTTTTTCCACTAATTGCTGATGCGTGTTATCACGCTGCTACAGCTCTCCTCTGCGTCACCCTGTGCCAATCAGAAAGACGCAGGGGAAACAGCTGAGATGAAGTTCTGTCGCTGAGATCATTTAGTGCTGAAAGTGACAGATGAAGGCTTCTACGTAGTCTGATATACATTTAAGAGAGTTTTTGTTTTAGTTATTGTTTTTTCTCTTTTTGGCATTTCTGCTGGATTAAACAAAGCAGCAAGGGAGAGGAGAAGAAGCCATCATCAAGGATATCAGTCAGTATGCGCGCTCTGAAACTCAACTGTCAACTGTGTTTAATTTCAGGGAGTGTGTGCCTAAGCTCCCTATTAAATAGCACTGAGATGTTGTCAAACGTCAGGCTCTGTTTGCGTCCCTCCCTCCGCCGGGATTGTGAGGTGTGCATTTCAGGGGCACACAGTGACCTAGAAACACAGAGCCATCCCCTTATTCATACCAAGGGAAGGGGGTGCATGAATGCCCAAATGGAGGCCGGGGCTCCCTCTTCTTGCAGGGTTTTTAGCGTCCCTTTCAAGTGTAGTGAAACAAAATGACCTGGAACAAACAGTCAACAATGAGGTCTTTAATAGGAGCTGTTCTGGGGCCTGCCCACAAGTGGTTTATCGTTTCACTGTAGTTCCACGGGAACCTTGAACAAATGTGACAGTGCTGAATTAAAAGTTCAACTGTGTCTTAAGTCAAGGATCCGATAATGACGAAAACGCCAATTCATTTTATCTCACAAAAGGCATGAAAGCATCAGAAACACGTTTTATGAGCTGAAAAAAAAGGCAGGTTGTGTTACTGTTTCACCTGACTTGACATTGTGACTCTATCAGCAAGGATCAGAGAATGTAGCCTGTGTGCCAACACCTCAGATCAAAAATCTCCCAAATATGCTGTGCTGCTATATAAATTTTCATGAGACAAGGTTTCCTCGAAACAGTTCAGGAGACTCAGATGTAAGTTTTTATTATTATTCACTGTGGCTGACTTGATAACACGTGTTCTTGCTGATCATTTTATCTTCCCACTTCTGGTTTTGTCCTTAAACTATGTGCATTTTTATACTAGAGAAAAACTCGTGCTCGTTCCTTTTATTCATTCAGATGTGGTGCATTTTTAATTTTTGCTTACAACTCAGCTTTTTGTCCTTCACGATGCTGCAGTCTCGGCTCGGTATAACATAGACAGATGCCAGGAAAAGACTTTGAGGCCACCGAGATAGACAGGCACCAAAGATAGGCTCCAAGGCCACTCTTCATGCTGAACAGAGTCCTTTAGTTTGAGCAATTTAGGCTTTTCTGACAGAGAGGAAGAAACCCTGTGCTAACATCGCTATTAGGTATGAGATGAAAAGAGCCAGCTCGAGTCTGTGGACAAGCACAGCGCTTTTCTATATTGAAAGTGTTGATCATATGCAGTTTGCCGTGCACAACAATTATCACTTCGTTTGTATACTCTGTACCCCGTGTGTCTGGATTAGCATAAAAAAGGAAACATGTCTGGTAGTCTGTAGTTTGTCAGTGGTCTAAAAATTATGTTTAAGGATCCTAAAAGACAGTTATACAGTGATAAAAAAGAGGTCAAATCTTTTTTTTTTGTCTTTTTCAGAACATCGTATAAAAAACCAAAACAACCACAATCGTAATTTTATCATTTCAAAATGTTTGCACACAGGTCAGGTGACATTTATTTATTTTCATGTCATCAATCTATCCTACCAGAGTGATCTGTTATTCACAGGCATCAGTGAAATTTGAGGTTTGGTAAAGATATATATATTTACACACTTTGCCCTTGACAGAGAAACGCACGCATGCATGCGCACTAGCCCGAGGCCCTAACCTCTCCACTGCTGTGTGACATTTAACGATGTGATTTATGAAATCTACCCCCGATAGCTCCACCCTGCCACCTAGCCATTATCATTACTCGAAGCGTCATCTCTCTCAGGGGCAGGGTTCGGTTTCACTCCCCACCCACACATCTTGACTCATCTGCCGGCTGCTGCTAATGTCCGCATTGATTTACATACATATGGATCCATATGCCAGGTGAGGTGACTCATGAGGGGACAATTATCAGTGACGATGTCAGGATCAGGCAGGAGAAAAACTTTCATCAATATCACATTCTCTGATGTCATTACATTGGCAGCTCTCCAAGGCCAGCCAGCTTGTAGAGCCATTGCTAGAGTGTCATCAGTCCTCTCCGGGGCCTACCGCTGGATCCGTAAACTATCCAGCAGTAATGACCTGTAATGAATGGAGTATCATTAGAAGGACGTACAAAACGTCTTGCCATAATAGACGCTGTTGTAAGTGCGACATGAAGAGCAAGGCTCACTGAGTGTTTGCACTGTGAATACGCCCTTTTAAGAACTTTTAAAAGTGTGATTTGGTGACTCGCACTAAGTCAAACACCAAACTTCTCAACTCATTAAATAATAACTCATGCCACTGTGTGGCATAGATGCATACGTAATCCACAAGAAATAGGATAAAATGCCCGTGCATGGATGAACTCAAGTTACAATGAAGGAAACTACTGAAACTCAGTTACATAAGAACAGATAATAAGAACAGACGGTGCAAAACACTCCCGCACTTGGAAAACCACCCAAATGTACAAATGTAGACGTGAAAGAATGTGCTATAAATTGAGAAGATAATAGACAAAGGCTTCCATTCATGTGGGAGCAACTGACTGTACTCATCAGGAAGAAAGAAACTCGAACTAATTACTTCGACCAGCTCTAATCAAATATTCTCTAAGAACAAACATTTGGGTGTGTTTTCGCTTTGATGTTGCTTTTTTGTTTTTTCAATAGAAAGGCTTAAAAATAAAGTTTCTGTGCAGCACAGAGAAAGCGTTTTCTTAGTCATGGATGACATCATCTTTACAACACATGCCATCTTGTAAAGGTAAATTCTAGTATTTGTCAACCAGAGCTTTTGATGTCAAGAAACTTTTTGAAACTATGGCAGCCCAGGTCAAGTCTTCCCTTGAGGAGAGCCAGTTTACATTCCCCATATAGCTGAGATGAAGCTAGGGCTGACCCTTCTACCTTCCCACTGCAAGAAGGGGAGGACAGCAGACTTTCATTTATTACTAAATCGATCTTTCTTTGTATCTCCTTCTATCTCTGCTCCTGCCCCAAATGAAGGGGATGGATGACGCAGCAACTTGCGACACTGTTTGGAGATCATAAATATGCTCTATTACTGTTCCCCGTCTTGTGAAACATTAACCGATGTACACTAAGATGACTGGGTGTGTTGCTGTAAGGCTGATTGTCTCCGACAAATGAGCAGTAAGGGCAGGAGGTCCATGGCTGGGAGCCTGTCACATGGAAAACACACATGCTTTGATGTGCGCTTCCTTCATGCTGAGGCTGATGCTGCTGAACGTCTTGCATCAGCGGACAGATCAAATCAGCACTATAGTTGGTTAAAACGGGTAAAAAGTAAGAGACTTCACAGCTGGGATTATTTATTGTGTTTAATATTTGTAGATTTAACTTTAACGTACTTTAACTTAACTTTAACTTTAACTGATTCAGACACTTGCTTCTTAGCGATGCCTCTGCTGATGATTGTGGTGGAGATGAAGGCTATTACTGTCGCTTGACCTACCTGCTCCATAGCATGAAGAATAATCAAAGGACCCAGCCAGACCCCCTTGTGAAAGATTATTTTTCAAGACAGCGAAGTATCCAGTTATTACTAGTGTCTACCTCTTCAATAGCAGGAGGCGTGAGGAGGCCTCATTTCCTGCTGATGCTCCCTGCAGAGGCCCCATTTGTTGGCTGTAATAATGTGGAAGAGGCTGAGCTTCTTCAGCAACAGTAACAGTCAGGCCCCCTGGAGCATATAAGTAAAAAATGGTTTTTGTCTGCCCTCTCCAATTTGTCATCATCAATCAGCAGCAGCATTAGAAATCCTTGCCATATATTGTGTAGCCCTCCATCATGCCATTAAAGAGGGCACGACTGGGCTTGTCCTGCATTATAAAGTTGATAGTCTTTCATTTCACATTGAGGAGTTTCAGTTTTTACTGAAGAATTATGAATTGCGCATTATATTAACACTACACTGTGGTTTGTAAATAATGCAAACTCCTGTGCAACGTACAGCACTGTGAAAAAGTATTTGCCTCCTAAACCTAATAACTGTTTGTGCCACCTTTGGCAGCATGAACTGCAATCAAGCGTTTGCGATAACTAGCAGCGAGTCTTTTGCATCACTGTGGAGGAATTTTTGACCCACTTGTCTTTGCAGAATCGTTTTAATTTATCTACATTTGGGGGTTGTTTGAGGTCATACCAAAGCACTTCAACTTGAATTGTGGCTGGACTTTGACTAGGCCACTGCAAACCCTCTTTTTGTTTTGTTGGGCCATTCAGAGATGGACCTGCAGGTGTGTTTTGGATCATTGTCCTGCTGCTTAAGCTGAGAGCTCTTGAGCTTTAGGGCATGAACTGATTTCTCCTTCATGATCATCTGGTAAAGAGCAGAATTCATGGTTCCATCTATTATAACAAGTCCTCCAGACTTTGAAAAAGCAGAGCAGCCCGAGACCATCATATATTCTTTTTATAAAAGGCTCGAAATGTCTCGTCATACCACAGAATATTTTCTCAGAAGTCTTGGGGATCTTCAAGATGTTTTTTGGCAAATGTGAGATGAGTCTTTTTTATCCTTTTTGATCAGCCGTGGTTTCCTACTGGGAACTCTCCCATGGAGGAGATTTTATCTCTTTATTATTGTTGAATCGTGAACTCTGACCTTGACTGAGGCAAGTGAGGGAAGTTCTTTTCATGTTGTTCTGGGTTCTTTTGGGAGCTCCTGGATGAATCATGGATGTGTTCTTGGAGTGATTTTGGTAGGCTCATGTGAAGGTTCACCACTGTTCTACATTTTCTCACTGTGGTTTGCTGGAGCCCCAAATCCTTAGAAAAGTCTTTGTAAATCAAAATATGTGGTTAATGACAATTCATTTATGATTTAGAAGAGGTGCAACTACTTTGTCATACATGCCCAAGTAGGTTTGGATAGGTTGTTTTCCTTATTAATAAATAAAATAATCAGTTAAAAACTGAATTTTGTATTTACTCAGGTTATTTTTTTTTATTTACTGTATATTATAATTAGTGTGATGAACAGAAACATTTAAGTGTTACAAATACGGAAAAAAATAAGAAATCAGGAAGGGGGCAGATAATGTTTTCTTAGCATTGTATTTAAATGGGTTTCCATGTTGTATGCAGTTTATAACAGTATATAACAGGTTATCAGTGATTGGTAAAAGGAGATATTTTGGGAAATATGATTCTTTGTTTCCTTGATAAGACTGATACCACTTTCTTCTTTGCCTTCATAATATGACCAACAACCAGTAGATGGTTATTTTAGATAAGCATAAAACTGGAAACAAAGTCAAGAAGGAATTAGCTTCCAGCATTTAGGAATTGAGTAGTGCATTAAAAGTCCTTTGTTTTTGTTTAAAACAAATAGCACACATGTTCAGAATTGCAGGAAACAACTGCACGCATAAAACAATTACCTTATTTATGGCTGAGCTCAGGGGAAGCTGATATGTAGATTTTTTTTTGACAGCCTCTGACCCAGTGAAGCTAATCTTTAGTCTACGTAAACCTCACAAGCAAAACAAGCACAGACAAAATCATACCCGAACGGTTTGGATTTCTGCTGGATTACAGGAACTTGAAAGGGAAAGAGAAAAAGGGAGAGAGGTGAGAAGGGGACGGTGTTATACAGTAGAACAATTGATTGGAGACCTGCCAAATTCTCACATTCCTCCCTTTCTTTTGGGACTCGGAAACCTGGGGTGGCAGAAGGTCACAGGTATTCTGAAGAAAGAGGGTCAGAAAAAAGGTAAACAAGAATAAGGCAGGTAAGAAAGAGGCAAAAAAGAAAGAACAGAGGCGGGATGGTAAAGCATGCATCACCAGCTCACCCCTCCCTTGTCCTCATCGTCTCCTCCCGAGTGTGATCGACTGGAGGGAGGTGCTCAGCTGGGAACAGGGAGAGAGACACCAGCTTTGAGGAAAGGCAGGCACACACAACACGAAAGCCAGTGCTGGAATTGGGTGTTTTGTACTGTAGGTTGCATTGCAGACCTGTTTCTGGAGGGAAACTGAAGGGCTGGACACAGGAGACGGACACAGGAATTCCAGGTCACAAGGGCTCCTGTGGCAGAGCTCAGTCCTGGCTGGGTTGGGCTGGGCTGGTATTCCAACCTCTCCCTCTCACGGTCACGAGCATGAAAGAAGCAGAACCAGAGCAGGAGTAAACACAGGTAGAGACGTGTGTGAGCACAGTCTGGGGGGAAACCAAGAGGCTGGCATCTTACTTCAGAGGTTGACTTCTGGCCTCACTCCATCATGATGGGATTCTCTGTTCAGTTTGCCTGCTGGTTGCTGGTAGTTTTTGCTCTAGGTGAGAACCACCTGGTGAGTGGAGGTTGTTCAGGGAAGTGCTGCAGAGGCAGAGACACAAACTGTTTGACCACTGACTGGAGGATGGACCGTGTGCACGGCACATGCTACTGTGATGAAGGCTGCGTCAGAACTAAAGACTGCTGCTTTGACTACTTCACAGAGTGTCCAGGTGAGTGATGAATGGATGGAACTGTTTATTTTTTGGTGCGCACCTTAACTTTATGATACCCGACCTCTTGCTATCTTCTAAATCTGTTGTCCAGAAGATAAAACAAGACAAATTATCCCCACTATCTGGTCATTAGTGGGCTGCTTATCACACAACATACCTCTAATGAGTGAAGTGGCATGGGTGGATGCATTCCACATTTTCCCATACATGTCAAATTGTGTGCATTTAACTTCAGTCCTTTCCAACTCTTCCTTGTCTTTTGTTGTTTTCTTCAGCTTCTAACATGGCGCAAACCCCACATAATCTCTGATTTTGTGTTTCTTGCATGTGTCTCACCTGCCGCATTACAAAAAAATAATCAGCACACCAAATAACCCCACTAGCTCTGAGCCTAACCTCATTTCAGTGGGCTGGCTGGCCCACATAATGGAATTAGTACAAATATTTTAAGAATGTGGTTCTGTCAATCAGTTGTAGCGATAACAGCTACAGTCAAACAAGCTAGGCACATTTAATATGTGTTATGGGCCAGTAGTGACTAAATCCGAATGTTTAATGCATCAAAGTGGAATCATAGAGCAGGCACAAAGAAAATAAATCACAGGACTCAGTCACTGATTGAGCGGCGCACTTGGCGCACTGTCAGAATACTTGTAGCAGAGCAGGAAGCACTAATTCCACAAGTCACAATCGATGCTTCATTAATCCAAAGTTATTTCCTGGATATTGAGTCACATTCCACTCTTCCACCGGAATATTATAATTATTCATCCCTTAAAGAACAATGGTATATCTTACTGTCGATGGGAATTGTAATCCTGGCACAAAAGCTAAGATCTTAGGGAGTGAGTCTTTGGTTTAAATGCAGTTTAATTGTTCGCTGCAACAGAGGATTTCCTCTAATAACGTTTCTCTCTTGATACTGGTGCCAACATCCAGCTCAGGACTGTGTTGTGAGCGACTGGAGCTTTTGGAGCGGCTGTGCCAAACCCTGCCAGCCTTCGGTGCGAATCCGTGTTCGTCACATAGAACAGCAGCCCCACAACAGTGGCCAGCCCTGCCCCGGCCTTGAGCAACGAGCTGGCTGCAGGGAATACAGAGACCACCTGGGTAGACACTGTGGCTTCAATTCAGGTATACAACCAGATGAACACTCTCTGGTTTTACTGTATCTGCATTTTTGTGTGTGTGTGTGTGTGTGTGTGAAGTTGCATGCATATTTTCTTGCATTTGAGCCTGTTTTGTAATTCATAGATGATCTGGTTTCTCTTATCAGGTCCTGCATTCATCACCAGCATGGCGTTTGCCAAGGGAAGGCCCAAGCACGACAGCTACGGAAACCCCCTAAACCCTGGGTAGGTTTCATATCATGGTACTATAAAGCCTGCAGATGCTCTCTGAAACTGCACAGACCTCAAGAATCTTTAAATTCAAGAGTTGAAAGGTTCATGAATGCTTTCAGGGGAAAAACCTATTTTTTTGTGCTTTGTATCACAAATGAAATTGAAAGGAGATAACAGCTCAACGTTTTCCAACCAACGAGCTACCTGTAGGTGTTTGCCCACCTGGCCTTCTGTCTACAGACCATTAAACATAGCGATGCTGAAAGACTGCCAACAATCCTTTGAAATTAAATACTCAAGGCTGTCACATGAAAAGCGCATACACAAAAGGTTGGGATGACAGTAGGTGCGGTATTGCGAGCAGTTCAAAGCATCTATATGCTTAATTATTGTTATTCCTTTCATTAGAGCTGTGTCCCTGCTACTGGGGATAAAGTGGGTTTTTCTTTTTTACTGATCAGTAATTCCCAATATCGCCTAACCAAGTGATGATGCCTCGATGTCGCTCTCCTGTGCGTTAAGGGTTTATTTTGTTTGAATTCTACTGTCTCAGTATTCCAGGATTTATTTGTTCACCTTCATTACTCTAATCCTGTCGCCCTTTAGGTTTTGTGTGGAATTCAAGCTAGAGTCACGGACGCCCCACTGCACTGTGGAGAACCGGCCCCACACACTGTGGATGCGCTACATAACAGAGGGCTTTAACGTGTGTGTGGCATGTGAACCTCCTGCCATGCGAAACAATACCAGCAGCTGCCAGGGAGACGGTCAGGAATCAGACAAGTATGCAGTTATCGGCCATTTTACATGTGTTTTTCCTCCAGTCCAGATATATTTAAACTGTTTGGCATTTAATTTACAGCTGAATGTGGTCTAAAAGGGCAGACTCTCAGCTTTTATTCTTATTTTTTTTACAAACTGAAGGAACATTTAGGAATGGTGGTTATTTATTATGTAGCCCCCTTTTTCTTTAGGGACCAAAATATCTGACTGAAAAGCTGCTTCATGGACAGATGTGGGCTTCTCGGCTTATTTTTTGAGCAATTTTGAACGTAAAACATCTGGAAAAATTCCAAGTGTACCATTTGCATTTGAAAACTGTGGGTTTGAACCCACAACTTCCAGATTTCAGTGGATTTCTACCTATGTTGTATGTGACTTGTGTTGCCATGATGCCAGGTCTCTCTTGGAAATGAGATTTTTAATCTCAATGAGATTTAAAAACCTGTGAGAGAGGTGGAACTTTAGAAGTGGTGAATGTTTAACAAAGAGATAATAACTCAATGGTGTGCTAAGCAAAGTAAAAAGGCATGATTTTCCATTGATAATTAGATAATTGTAGATGATTAGATGATCCGTTTCACGGTAAAAGAACACCCCTCATAACACCTAACCAAGTGGTGAACATTGCCCAGGGGCAGAAAAAACAAATTTAAACATCTAAAAATACCAGACAAGTTGTGAAACAGCATTTGTTTGGACTAATGAAAGCATAATATGTATGTTTCGTTATTTGAAGCATACAGCAATACTTGCAAGATGGAAGACAGAATGAGAAGGGAACACAAGCCATTCGAGCATGCACTTCAATTCCTGAAGAGCAAACTAAATGGCAAAAAAACTAAAGGCCTGGAAAACCATCAGGAAGGAGGAAACTCATCAATGTGCATGGCTTTCAGTCAGTCTGTCAACCATAACTAACAAAATCCTAAAAGGTAAACATTTTGGTTATGATTATGCTCACTTATCCAGTTTGAGCCCCTGAAAGGAGCTGAATTAAAGCTGAAAGTCTGGATTGAAATTGCATTGCACTTTAATCTATTGCACTACCGTACAGAGCCAAAGTTATGGAAATTGTGTTCCTGTCTACAAAGCCCTAACTGCACGATTTCACATAAAAATCTAAATCAGTTCATAAAACTTAAAACAGCTACAAAATTAGTCCACCTTCTGCTTCAACACTTAATGTGCCCTTGCCTTAAGCTAAGCAGTGCTGAGATCTTGTGAAATTACTATGTGAAACCATGTGCATAAAGTGGTATGAAACCAGTGGTTTAACTGTGCTGCAGGGAGACTGTGCTCCACTGGCAGGCGGTGGGGAACCCGCAGTGCAGCGGGACTTGGAAGAAGATCCAGAAAACTCAGCGGTGCGCCTGTCCTCCACAACACAGTTTTGTCTTCATCTGATATGGATTTCACGTGAACATCTAAAAACCAATCAGTGGGCAGCCTCAACACATCGTCTCTCTATCAACACTAAGAGGCCTAATTTTGCAGATATGTCTTTTAATATGGTCCAGAACAGTAAAAAATATTTAAAAAGAACAGATTCACACACACAAAAAAAGAAAAACACACGTACACAACACCACACCTTCCCCACACACACAAAAAACACTTCCTTTTATTTTGGTTATAAAACAATGCTATTGTACTCTTTTACAAATGTCTTGTCTTACACCTTATTTATCTAAAAAAATGTGGCCTTAAATATAAAAAACTAAAAACTTTTACATCGTTTCCTGTGATTGCTCTCTGGTGGTATGACTGGGTGCACACAGCAGCAGCAAAGCACATACACTGACACGGTTAAGCTTTAGCTGGTCAGCTAAAAAAAGACTAAATGAGTGAAATATACTGTTTTACTGACACATTGTCACATTGTTACACATCGTCAAATTTACCCAGTCACAGCAGACCAACTTACCCAGATCACTGTTCTGTGCTTGAGCACCCTCTGGTGGTAAATTGTTTCAGTGCAAACATAACAGAGCATGCAACTAAAACCATTAAAAAAAATCAATAGAAAAATCAGGTGATTTTATTTACAGGTCAAATGCTACATTGTACGAATTAGAGAAGCTCTGTGTGTCTTTATCCCACTTCATGTGCCCTCGTTAGAACTCTCCAGCGGTCTTTGAGCATGGTGCCGGTGCGTCCTTCAAAGTCATAATCCATTAAGATACGAGACCACTTCCCCTGCCCGTGACGTTTAACACCATCCTTGAGGTACTTGTCCAGCTGGGAGGTCCATTTCTAGATAAAAAAGGAAAAAACATAAACTCCTGCTTTCTATGCTTAAAGGAATATTTATAACTCCTTAAACTGATTTGTGGATTAATTGGTTCTACTTACTTGAGGGGGTTTTCTTGTTTTTTGTGCCTTTTTTGTGTCTGGTGAATTTTCTGTCATCTGGGATAACTCTGATGCTGTAAGGTTTGAAATTAATTTACTTGTATTCAGGCTCAAATATGATGTGCTGGTAAATAAATTTCAAAAGAAAAATTCAGAAACCAATCAAAGCCACAAGAAAATTAAAACCCACCATTACTGGAGATTCGACGTAGAGAAAAATGACGCTTCTTGCATGTATCAGGCTTCCACACATCTGTATTTATGGTTGAGAGTAGTTTCCGTTTTGGTCTGTGGAAGAGTAATACAGTGCGACACAATTATTTCCTTAACCTACATGTGTAATTTAAGTGACCCTGAATGTGACGTGGCAGTACTTCAGACACTGCAGATTTACTGGGATTTTCACAACCATCTCTAGAGAATGGTCCCAAAAGAGAAAATGTCCAGCGAGCCACAGTTCTCTGGGTGAAAATCCCTTGTTGATGTTAGGGGAGAATGGAAACACGGCTTTGAGCTGGTGGGAAAATATGCTGCAGGACAGCAACTCTGAATGCGCATCAAACGTCAAAGAAGATGCGCGACAGCAGCAGAAAGGCACACTGCACATCCTGATGGTCAGAATTTGGCACAAACAATATGAAAACACGGTTCAGGCTGGTGCTGTAGGGAATATTTTCTTGGCACACCTGTCCCCGAAATAGGATTTATGCTTCTATGTGAAATCTATGTCACAGGTACCTAATCAGAAACCCCTCTGAAACTCACACCCCAACTACTTTGAGTGGCCTCTTGATTCCTCCTGTGCATTTCCTGCTTCTTTCGAATGAATCATTGAGAGAACATCAATCCCTGCGTCAACATATGGACTCTCAGATTGAATTCCTCGAGGGAGATTCCTTAAACTATCAGGACTGATGTGAGGGGATGTAAAAAGAAGTGGAAAAACTTCACCAAGGACACTTTTTTTAGCCTCTGGGGAGAAAACAAAACTAAACAAAAAACCCCAAAAGAAACCGGAAAAAGGGGACCTAGGAAGAGAAGACGTCCTAGAATCATTTAGGCTGGCAGAGGATATAAAAGATTGGGACATAACTGTAACGCGTAGTGCACAAGTGTGAATGCCGGCAAAGGCATTGGCCACAAAAGTCTGAATCAGTCATTAGTACCAAGCAAGCATTGTTACAATGCCACAGGCTGCCTGAATACTGCCATATGTCCATCCCTTTATGGCCACAGTACACCCATGTTCTGATGGCTGTGTGCCATGCCACAAAGCTCAGACCATCTCAAACTCGTTTCTTGAACACAACATGAGTTCACTGTACTGAAATGGCCTCCACAGTCACCAGATCTCAATCAAAGAGGGCAGCTTTGGGATGTGGTGGAACAGGAGATTCATACCATGGATGTGCAGTTGACAAATCTGCAGCAACTGTGCAATGCTATCATTTCAATATAGACCAAAATAACTGAGGAATGTTTCGAGCACCTTGTTGAATCTGTGCCATGAAGCATCAAGGTGGTTTGGAAAGCAAAATGGGCTCCAATACAGTACTAGCGAGGTGTACCTAATAATGTGTCTGGTGAGTGTTAAACATATTCTTACTGACCTGTGACATGTGGTGTTTCCTTTCCTGTTAGGACATAAATAAAGCTGAATATTTAGCATGAAGGAGAAGCAGAGTTTAAATAAATGAGGCTTTTCAAAAATACTACGACTTACTTTCTGTCCTCCGTGACATCACTGGCCTTCTTTGAAAGAGAGCTGTCCCGGGGCCCCTCGTCCTCCAAACCTTCAGTTTTGTGTGAGGACTGCACCATCTTTGAAGCTGCCTGATGATCGGAGAGGTAGACATAACACAGACATTTAGCTTTGCTAATTTATGCATACAAATATGACCCTTTCATAAACTTCTAAAAACAACTAACTTTCTGGTCTAAGTACTGCTGTAATGAAAAGCAAAATTAATGAGGGCAGTCATTAGCATACCCTTCCAAGTACAGCCATCAAGAGGTCATTGGCTTGCGTAAATCATTCATAAAACTTTCCTGAATAAGCGAGTCTGTTAGGCCCTGAGGACGACTCTACAGAATGCAGCAGTTTGCCCTTCCAACTAATTTGATGACAAATTGTCAATTAGCTATGACTGATAACGTCACATCAGCACCTTCAGTTGGTCTGAACGCCATTACTCAGGAGGATAAGAGCGTAGTTTCAGCACAAAAGGAGAAAACAAGAGGAGGAGACATTAATATCTGCAAAAATTTGTGTAAGCATTGCCTGTTAACTACCGAGAAACTTTGGACACCTCATGTACACCCATCAGCAAGCCACCAGCGCTGTGATTATCTCTTCACAACAATCCAGAGGTGCGATATATCAGGCAGCAAGTGAACAGTCAGAGCTTGAAGTCCACGTGTCAAAAGCAGAAAAAAGTGGGCGAGCACAGGTCTGTGGATTTTATGATGATGGCCAAACTGTAACTGTTATGCAGCCCCAGAGTCCCATGATGACAAGTGTCCACTGATCGGTGTATTTACCCAAAAAACCTTCCATCTCACTAAGAGTGCAAAGGGGTTTTTATACATTTTGGCTTGGACATAAGTTTGGAGAGACAAGGCTGAGATGGTTTCGACATGTGCAGAGATGGAGGTATGTAGTGAAAGAGCATATGCAGAAGGTTGGTGTGACAAAAGACGATGCTAAAGAAAGGGTGAGATGATCCGCTGTGGTGCCCCCTAAAGCAGAAATCCAAAAAAAGTCGACAATACTTTTTGCAAAAAAACCCAAAACATTTCTAAGAGTTTAAAGTGAATTTTAAACTTACAACTTAGGAAATAAAATATTCAGCCCAGAACCTGAAACATAATACATATAAATATATCTAGTCTAGTTTTTTAAACAAATATTTTAATTTACTCTGTGAACACAGTGCTGTATGACTTGTAGAAACTCAGTATGTAGGCCTGACAAACAACTTGTGAACTAAGGTTGGGGTGGACATCATGTTGGCCTTGATTTTAAAGTAGTAGGGCTTTAAATAACTGAGACACGAACCTGTAGGTTTTAAAGGTTATTCTCAAAATTCTCAGAATTGTGATCTCAATATTGACAATGATAGTAGTGAGTGTGATTTTTCACATAGTTGAGCAGACCTGTGTTCCAATCTCATTCTGATACTGGCTGTGACATAAAACACAGGTTCTGCAGGTGCTGTACCTTGAGAAGGTAGTCAGAAGGATTCTTCTCCAAATAGGCATCCAAGTAGGACTGGACTGTCTCTAGCAGGCGACTGAAGCTGAAGCTCATGAGGAATGGGTGGTAAGTCTCAGCCTGTGCAACTATTTTCGAAAGCTTAACTCTCAAACCCTGTTAAAACACATTAGTTGTTAAAATCGCTTAAAATCTGTTACTGAATAATTAAAACGTTCCAAAATTGACCTTTATTTTGAAAAGGAAAGGGAGAATAACTGCCATACAGACCTGTGGAAGTTCAAGGTTATTCTCAAACCACCTGAGGGCAGAGGAGGCAGAAGACCTTTCACCCTTCTCCAAGCAGACAGCAACAGACTAGGCACAGGGTAAATGTATGACATTAGACTCAAAATCAATACATGCAGCCAACATCAGGACTTAAACCCTGCTCATTTCATAATCAAACATCTGTATAGTTTCAGCACTGGTGTTGTGTTTTCCCCCCCACATAATAAAATGTTTAGTTCCCTCAAAGAGAGCTAAAGGAAAACCACCAGCACTACAATGGATCGTGTTTTAACTAGTTTTGTTAATCACCGTTTCTTTTACTCAAGCATGACGCTCCTTTGTGCTCTCAAAATTGAAAAATGAATATGAGGTGAAACAAACTCTTTCCCTATATTGTTTGTAGCTCAATTACAAGTGAAGTAATCCCCCAAAGGCCCATACTGAGGTAGGAAAAACAAAACAAAACATTATTACCTGTACAATCAAAAGGATGGCAACGTTTTTAAACAAACTTTCGTCTGCCACAGTGTTTTTGAGGTCTGACCAGAGTCTGGCAGCCGACATCAGAGGCATCACAGAGGCATCATCTTCAAACTGCACATCTGAAGAAAAACAGTGTTTTACAGGACAAGGAAACAGGAAGCCAACTAGGATGAAGGACAGAAAGAGTCTGCTGCTGTTAATTTTTTTTTAGTAAAACAGTATACCCCCAGCGACCACTTTATTAGGTACAACTACTCAGCTCCTTGTTAACGTAAATATCTAGTAAGTAAGTAGTAAGTACATGGCAGAAACTCAATGCAGGTAGACACTGTCAAGATGGGATGTGGATGTAACGGGAGATTTAGATCATGCTGACAAATAACCACAATTCTAGGCCACGGAAAGTTAATGCATCACTGATGAAGAGACAGGTGGGTATATACGTTTTTAGTCAGTGATTTCCAACCACTTTCTCATCTTTAATAGTTTTTAATGTAGCTTGCCATCGCCAGTGTGTGAATGTGTGAATGTGTGAATGGGTGAATGACTGAATGTAGTGTGAAGCGCTTTGGGGTCCTTAGGGACTAGAAAAGCGCTATACAAATGCAGGCCATTTTAATAGTTTTTAATGTGTATTTAAAAACTGTGGCATCGTGTTTTCTTACCCAGCAGCTTTCCATGCATGACTCTTGCCAGGAAGTCACAGATCTTTGCTT